CTTCCTCTAGACTGCTACTGAGTTCGCATGAACATCACTAGGCCTAGACCCATTTTTTTAAAGATTAAAATATGTATTGTAATCGAAAATTTTATTGTCACTAGTACATAAAATACAAGTAAAATTCGTCTTCCCGATGCAAACAATTAGTATAAAATTAGATAATTGAAGGACATATAATAAAACAAAATAATAAACTTTAAAAAAATAAAATAAATAAAAATAAATAAAAAATAAATAAAATAGAGTAATAAAATATGATAATGCTGATAAATAATGATGTTGATGATAACGATTATGATGACAATAATGATAATGATGACGATGATGATGAGAAGATGATAACGATGATGAATCTTCAAGTTAACCTTTGACCGAGAAACAAGTAGGGAAAGAGGTCACACATGTTACAAGGTATCAACAACTCAAATGCCTGGGCGTGTGGTGTGGTGTTAAGTTTACACTTTCTATACGATACGTTTACGAATAGTGGTTGACTCGCGAGTGTAAAATGGTTCGTCCTACTTCGAGTAGTTGAAGTGAGATCATGATTGCCGAATAAAAAAAAATAAGATGGACAACAAAATGAAGGTATTTTCACTATCCTCGTTAGGTATAGCTAGGCCTAAAATAGTGTTTATTAAACTTGGCTAGTAGGAGGAGAGGAGGCGCCTAGCTAGCCTAGCCCAGCCAGGCTAGGCTAGCTAGGGCTTTCCCTAGTTACTAGTAAATAACTCAAATGACAGCAGTCAACCTCTCTAGCCGGGCTAGCTAGGCCTAGATAGCTATGACCTAATTAGCTTATAAGGCCTAGCTAGGCCTAGGCTAGCTATGGCGTCTAGTCCTACACTACACTTACACTTTCAGAGACTAGGTAGTAGGTCTAGTAATAGTAGAATAGTAGTAATGAGATGAATACAGCAGTGTATATATGGATGGCTGTTGACTGGTTGTGGTGACACTACTGGTGTGACTAGGCTTGGTAGGTCTACTACTTTGGTGGTCTATTTTTATAGGCACTGCAAGGCCATACTGTAAGGTATTTCATTTTGTGCGAATGATACATCAAAAACTAGCTCAAATTTGCACGGAAAAAATCACAAGAAAATGGAGTGCAGAATCGTAACTAGGCATACAGTAACTACATAATAAATTGGTTGTTAGAGTTAGGTCAAACCTATATTTTCAGAAAATCCGCGTGGAAGTCAGCCCGTATTTTCCAAATGTAGCAATCGAGCAGCAGCAGCATCGCTCACAGGGAGCGGCGTTGGATTCATCGGTCGGCAGCTGAACAACACAGTGTGTGCCCGGCTGTAGTCCCGGTTGGCTACGGGGTATATTTTCAAGGACTTGGTAGCACAAGTGTGGGAAATATCAGGGGAGTTGCAGCATTTATGGGGTATACTTGCAAAGATTTTGTAGCACAAGTGTGGGAAATAACCGGGGAGAAATTGCTAATTAAAGTTCCTGGCCTATTCTGTGTCAAAAGTGCCTGGCCTATTCTGTGTCAAAAGTGCCATGATTTTCCGCACAATGTTAGTGGGAATGGACCTTTCCGCTATGCTCCGCCCCTTGGATTTTGTTGCTAAGGCCCCACAAGATGGCAGTGTTAAAACATACGCGAACACGTGCGTTTGTGGGACAACACGTGTATTTGTAAGACGCGTGCGTATTCCTAGCGTTGTTGTGATTAGTCAGTTGTTAAGTTTGATTGACACTCCGGAAAGGTCTATTTCAAGCTAGACCGGGTGGTAAGCCCCTTGCTAAGCCTACCTTTAGTAGAGCCAAGAGATTGGGACCAGACAGAAATTAGAATGTTCTTCCACACTCCATCAGGAATCAAGATATCTTGCAAACAAACCTATCTCCAGGGGTCCCAAGTCTCCCGGAAATCGGGACGGCCTCCTGCAAGCAAGAATCTACTGGAAAATAACCCATCTCCCAAAAAATTCATAATTATTTGTATGTTTTTATAGTACTTCATTATCAATTGTCTAACGGAAGTTGGGGCCAATGGATATCATTATGTGCAGCAAAATAAAATTCAAATGGGTTAAGAAAGCTCATTTAATCAGATCTCCCGGAAAGGATTTTCTTCCCACTTGAGACCCTGTAATTCCCACAAATTCAGAATGACTGCATATGTTTACTACTGTGTTATACTTATTGTCTCTGAAATTCGCTGGCCGTAGGTATCACCTGGTCACTAGTATTACCATGTACAACAAAATGCAATCAAGATGTATATTAGAAAGCCTAATACCAGTTCTCTTGGAAGCATAGTACAGTAGCTTTCACCCAAATTAGATTGTTTACCGCAGTGATGGTTCATGTTTCCCCGACAGTGGGTCCAATGTTCCATGACGGAAGGCCAATTTCCATGACCAAAGCAAATGTGGGTGGGTGAGGAATATCCCAGAATTCCTTAGTGGGGGTTCCAGAGGCCAAGGACGAGGTCCCTAGAAACTCCAACTATTTAGGGACTTGAAATGCTTATTTTATCGATTTTAGAGTCTCACATTATGTAAAATTTACATCATCGTCATGAATCAATTTTAAACATCAAAAATTCTCTGTTTACCTAACATTTACTATAAAAATAAATACTTCCTATATGTTACCCTACCAGCCAAATTGTAGCAAGTTTACTAAAATAGAACTTTATTGGTTTAACCATGGATCTATATAGTAAGGTCCATGGTTTACAGGTAATTGGAAATGAAAGTATTTAATATAAACATCGGAAATTGTTTGAGTAGATGTTTTGTCCAATTCTTCTAAAAAAGCACTGTAGTAAATGACTTGGAAATGAAAATAACAGCTTTCGTTTTTATTAAACACACACTGGTAGATGAACCCATTCATAAATGAAAGCTGTGATTTACTAATACTTTGTGTAAATATTTGTAACAATCGTTCATTGTCTTCAGTGTGAAAATGTCTCCAGGCACTGAAGGGTATAATTGAGGGCAGTATACATTATTGTAACCAATGAAGGTCAATTGAGTAATATTATGGTTATGATTGTGTTCCTTAGTTTAGTGATACTATGGAATACTATACTATTATTCTAGTATCAATTTTGTCTATTGGTATACACACTATTTCTTTATATATATTGCTATCACTTACTATTGTTTTTCTAATAATATAAAGTGCAAATAAACAATATATAAGCACTAATAATTTGTTACAGATTAATATTTATTTTATTCATATTTTATTTTTGGTACTGTACAGTTTGCTGTCTGTACTCTATTTTAAAGTGTTTCATGTTTTACTTTTAACTAACTGCTGGCTAGATTTGCACATAACATGACTAATGAACTACCATAGAAAGGTTGATAAAAAAAATCTGGGTTCAATATTTTTAATAAAAAACTGTTTCATTTTTCAGTACAAAGAAATTGTCTTTTAGTTTAAATTTTTTACTTAGAATGAATTATTTATACCATAGGCTAATGGAAGCATTCGATTTAAGATTTCAAAAATATATGGTATAGTATGTTGGTATTCAGTACATATTGCATATTTCATCAATAAAATTTAATATACATGATAGTCCTGGTACAAACAGCACACAAAGAGTATTTACAATAGAGTATACATTAATAAACATATATAAAGGGTAAAATTTGTGTAAAACATTTTTCACAGTTTTTTAGGGGGAAAAAGAACAATTAATTTTCAGATTTAAAAATTGTCCAAAAGCTTTTTGCAACATAATTATTGATTGTTTGAAATGTTTTAAATTTAGTTGTTGGAGCTACTGTACATTACTGATGATGACAGTTTTAGGGAAACATGTATCGGTACATATTATTATTAGAAGTATACTGTATAATTCAATCTTCTATCTAGTAAATACTATCTTGATTTATATTGATTTATCATTAAATTACCTTATTTATAATACTTTTTAGATGGCAAAATATTATAACTCATCATTATTCCATATCCCTACTAAACAGAGAAAAAAAAGTGTAGATGTACAGTATAGTAATTAACATGTCCACTTGGTTTGTAATCATAATTTGGCCAATCAATCTAAAAGCATATTGACAGAACAAATGCAACATGATACTCTAAATATAGAAAGATTCATTATGAAATCGACCAATCATCTTACTCCAATTTATCTTCAACCATGTAAACATTTTATTAATAAAGGACTGGCAATTGTGATGATATCTCATTTGACAAATTGTATTTATATTAAATAATTCTTGCACTCAGCTAAGATTGCTATGGTTATATAGGTAGGTTTTGTGGCATTTTATAAATAATGATGATAGACCTGTCTTTGGTTTATTATTATGTCTCTTCTACTGTATGTCATGTACAACTTTGTAGCCACCAGCATTTTCATCTGCTGCAATTACGGTTGTAGTATACTAAGGACTCATTGTTGACACAGCCTATATTGGATAAATAATACATGTAGGTTTAACAAAGAATGGTTTTGTCAATATTCAATTGGTAGGCCTACAGTAGTATCAAGTGAATGTGTCATTTGTTCTGCGGTTAATAGCGTTAGATAATGTGTCTTTACTACACACAGTCAAAAATTTAGGGAAGTGGACATCAGCAGTGTTCAACAGTTGAGCTTGATGAGGTTTGATGTTCATTGTTGTTTTCACTATGTATATCTTAAGGAGCATTGTTCTTTTTCTAAAGCTCTGTCCATACTATTTAATTTTAGTGTTGTATGCCCATATATAGTCATGATGTGCCCATATATAGTTATGATGTGATCATATATAGTCATGATATGCCTATATATGGCCATGATGTGATGTCATCATGACTATTAGGCATGTCACATGTTTTTGTCTAATAAACTATGATAGTCTGTACAAGCTCTGTTCAAACTATTAAATTTTATGTGACAAAATGCATGTGATGTGTCCATATATGGGAATAATGATGTCATATTACAACCAAATATGGGCATATCTTATTTGTCACGTAAAGTTTAATAGTGTGGATACTTAAGGTTTGATGTTTTTTTTGTTAATATTTTATTTCTTACAGGATTACACTAGCTTGATTTGATGACTAAATAATTCAATCTAAGCAAGCTATATTTGAAACAAATTTTCACTCATTTAAATATTGTATACCCCGGGGAACAGTGAAATTACAGTATTCTGGTCTTGTGGTTTAATGTTCTGGCACAGAGTAAATTTGCTCATAGTATATTTTGGTAGGGGTTCTTAAGTGTGGTCTTCTTCACGTGCAAGTTTGTCTCGATTGTATTATATTTACAGTGGTGGCACCCAAGGATGTAAAGTCACCGACAAGAGGTCCAACCTCCATGACCGGAGGCCATCCCGACTTCAGTTCTATCATGGTTGGAGCAAATTTTTGAAATAATTGCTTCTTGAAGTAGTGTTCACTGACAGAATCATTGGCTTCTTGTCTGACAAGGTTCCAGGGTCCCCCGCCCTCCCAATTTATGGGCGTATGCTGGGGTTGCAGATATAACAACAAATTAGTTTTACTAAAGTGGGTTAAAATATTAAAGTGACTAATTACTTTTAGGTCGCATTCTGGGATTAGCTCAGCATTCTCATTTTTCGAAATCCCTTCTCCCCAGGCAGAAACCAACCTACACCTCTGCAAGGGGGCTTTAGGGTCTCCCGATGAGGGTTCTGTGACTCCTGCTAGAACCGCCACTGTAATATTATCAGTGCTGGATTCTTCAAATTTTTCATTGGTTTCAATTTGTTTAGTTTAATTATGATATTACTCAAAAGTATGCTGAGCTTTCATCAGCAGGGTCTACCTCTACAGATTTTAAGATGACACTGGTTTTATGTTTCTTTTGGGGAGTGATGTCTGCCGACTGCTGTCCAGTCTATTTCATTTTATCTATGTTCATAACGTACATTGTTGGCTTTATGTCTGGCATGACCTAAGCTTTATGAGGTCATCCTATTACTGTCAATATAAACTCAGCTGGTGAAAGGATATATAGCTCACACATGTGGGTTCTCATCACATCCTTGATTGCATCTAATTACCTTACCGACATCTTTCTCATTAGAACACAGGTTTCTCATACTGTACCTAGCTGTGGTAATCAACAGTCGAGTTTATAGTGAGATCAATAAAACCTTTGTCACATTATTCCCAGTCTGCCATGCATTTCAAATCATACTGGACTGGAAAACACAGCTCTAATATTAATTACTTGAACAGTTGACTGGCTTCATGTATGTATAGATTATTATGTTCATTGTGTTATTAATATTTAAGGCATGCTTGTTGATGATAAAGTTCACCTTTGTACAGTACGTTTATTGACAACTCTGCTTATGCTTTACCCTGTACCCCTCGCGATCTACAGTAGCAGCAATATTGTGTCTTCTGATGTAGAGGAATAAGTTCCTTCTTCGACTTGTACAGTATCTATGAGAACCATGAGCTAATACATTATTCTTGAACTGGTTTTGCCAATTGCCCTGATAACAGGCATAGGATTTGTAATTAATATCACTCCCTAATTCTAAACAAAGCAACTTTTTTTTAAAAAGTACAATGGTTGCTTAATCAGCTGCTTTCATTCTCTTTGTTTATGATTGTCAGTTTGTTCTTTGCAACATTTCTCTTTTAGAAAAACAAAATAAAAAAATTATTTTAAGAAAAACATTTAATGAGGTTGTTCCATCAAGCAAGGCACTCATCATTGAAGTTTTCTAAGTGGAGAAAATTCCTGCAATTTTCACTCAAAGTTGAACCCAGGACTTTGCGCTTTAAAGGTTACTGTCCTCACTAGTGTATCATGCATGGGCGTAAGCTGGGGGTGAGCATGCACCCCCCACCCCTCTTTAATTAATTTCCACCAAGTGAGTTAAAATACGAAAAGTGATCATTAAGTTTTTATTAGAATAGAACTTTAGTTCTGCTTTCTCAATTTTTGCACATCCCCTGTACCACATTCTCAATTTTGGCATCCCCTCCACCCCGACAGGATACAACCAGCCATACCGCCCCTGCCATACAGTATACAGTATCCCACAAAAAGATAAAATGTAGATGCTCACATGATTTAATGCCAATTTCGCATGATAGAATGATGTACCTAATAAAAGTAGGCATTTCTGTCATTGTTTGCAAACTGCATCTTTGCATGCTTCGACTAGATGTTTATTTCTTCTTCCCACCAGCAATGTACAATGTTTAATATTGAAATAAACATCATTTCTTCAATTGGTATGCTGACTTGAATTGTAACCTTTATCACTCAATTTTCATTTACTGCGCCTGTTGACATTTTTGAGTAACTCATCCAAAATTTTGAAGGGATATATCCTGTCTCTTATACACATCTAGATGTGTATAAGAGACAGGGATGAAACACGACTGTACTACCTGTTTTTTTCCGTATTCTCAGTGCCTCATGTAGGCTCTGTCTCTTATACACATCTAGATGTGTATAAGAGACAGGTATACAGTATCCCACAAAAAGATAAAATGTAGATGCTCACATGATTTAATGCCAATTTCGCATGATAGAATGATGTACCTAATAAAAGTAGGCATTTCTGTCATTGCTTGCAAACTGCATCTTTGCATGCTTCGACTAGATGTTTATTTCTTCTTCCCACCAGCAATGTACAATGTTTAATATTGAAATAAACATCATTTCTTCAATTGGTATGCTGACTTGAATTGTAACCTTTATCACTCAATTTTCATTTACTGCGTCTGTTGACATTTTTGAGTAACTCATCCAAAATTTTGAAGGGATATATCCTGCTGTAGAATTACCTCTTAATCATAATAATCCACTAAAAAAAATCCTTGAAGTACTTCACACATGTGATTAACATATCATTATATTTTTATTGCTAGCAGTTAAACATTAATTTTCCAATCAGATTTATCTTGGACCAATGGTTATTTAGTAACCAAGCAATTCTTTCCGATTCATTGATTTTGTTGTTTTCATGCTTTTCACACTGTCTATTCAACTCATCTGTGAACATACAGTTAATCTCCTAATGTACTTTATTTCTTCACCTAAGATGCATCTGATGATTCCTTGTTTAATGTATTACTGTAACTCTAACGTAGATAGCGTGCAAGGACAACCCATATTTGAAGATATTCTGTAATGAGTACATGTCTGAATCGTGATTGTGAGATTTTATCCTCATCGTGAATCATGCTGACAGCTTTTTTTTTGTTTCCATGGCATATTTTATGCTCAGTATTACTAGCTTTACGGTCAATTTTAGATGTGTACTGACAGCTCAAAGCTCCTACAAGCTTGCTTATTGCATATTTGGAATGTCGTGAGGTGGAACTCAGTACAATCTTTGCCAAGTTAACACCAAGGATTCATTTTCTTGTTTATTATGTTACTAATCTCTCGATCACATTAGTGAATGTGTTTCAGACGGAAGTCTGCTAAAGATGGAATTATTTGCAGCGATAGTGAATGGACTGTTTTGTTTACTAGATGTTTATATGTGAATGTCAATGTGTACTTCCTTGCCAGTATTTGACTTTGTGATTGGTCATTTTGAATGGTCAGCTATAGATAAGAAGAGATTACATTAGATTTTGCATCATAAAAATGATGGGTTTAATATTAAAGCAAATGTAATTTAATTTGTTGCAATGTGTGGATGAAACACGACTGTACTACCTGTTTTTTTCCGTATTCTCAGTGCCTCATGTAGGCTATTGAAGATACCATCGTACGGAGGGAATAGAGATGACACTTCGTTTTGATAACCTGTTGTTATCTGTTGGCCTCGAGCCGTTTATTTTACGCATGAGCCATAATCTTAAAATTGTAAAAAGGAAGATACGCCAGCCTCTGTGGCAGATTCATGGGGTAAGAAAGCTAATTGTTTTTCTTATACTTATTAAAGCTTGAGTTAGTATTGTATGTTGTTATTGCATGTTTTGATGTGTTCTGAATTCTGGTTGCAATCTTTTTTGGAGTCAAATATTTTTATACCTTTGTTTTAATTTCATATTCATATGCTGTAGTTCTTCTGGTATAGGATCCCTCCTCCCCCTCTAACACAAAATTTAGCCAATTTTTTGACTTATGCTCAGGAAATCCGCTTTTCAATCAAAATTTTCAGCACTATATGCTTAATTCAAAGCCAGTATTCAATATTTTTATGAGAATATGTAAAAGACATACCTTGGGCTTTTGCTGGAGGAAAGGCTGGTACGTTAAATTATGCATAAATTGGGGGTGGGACTATAACCGACGTGGATACCTTTGGAACTACGGTACATATCATTCTGGTTTTCTTTTCTTCGCATTTATTGTTCTTAAATTTATTAAATCTGCAGTCTTAGTTTCTCAAATGTGCTACATGTATTGATTGATTGCTACATGGGTTGATTGTAGCTCTAGAAAAACTACTTAGGGTTTAAGTAGTAGTCATTTTAAGGGTGGGCGGGTGATAAGATACTGATTTTAAGAATGGCCAAGGGGATTAATAAAGGTAGCTGAAGGTCGATAAAATTAGCTTTAGACTGGATGGAAAACTGCAAATGCACTGACCTCCGAAGTGTCGGGTTCTGTACTGTAGCAGTAAGTTACAACTATCCACATCATCCTATAACCAAAACCAGTGTAGCCCTAGTTCGAGTCTCTGTATTTTTGAGTGGTTTTTCATAACTATTTAGAATTATTATATTATTATTAGATTGTTTAATGCTTTTAGTATTATGAATTGAACAAGGCAGAATATTCCACTTATCATTACTAATCTCTTCTAAGTACATTCATGTAATGCTATTATTGTATGTCCAATTTTTTACATTTTGTGTATAAAAAAATAAAATAAAAATTACTGACGAATGGTGTTGTAGGAAACGATACTAATTTACAGTTAATTTACGGAAGTAGGATAAAATAGTGAATTAACGTCTTGAAACGAACATGCTTTCAGGCACGCAGTGTACATGCTCTTCAACTTTAATATTGCATGTTTTATGGCATTTTTAATCCAGGGGTTAGTTACTGTACATGTTTCAATTATCGATGCAAACGTGAATGATGGTCTGAGCACAGTGGCCTGAGTGGCATGATCGGAGTATATAAACAAATTGCAATAAAATTGAATAGCTTTAGGCGCTTGGAAGAAAAAGGAGAGCCAGAAAATACTGTACCATCATATAGCATAAATAAACCATAAGGTATCCGAACCGATGAAGGTAAAGTGATGATATTGAACAAAAGCTGTGGAACAGTGAGCATTGCTGGCCGTTCACAGGCATTTTTGGGCCTCAAAATGGAAGGTTTGTTGGCACTTAACTCACAGGTGAGCTCTCATAATACAGAACTGGCATACTTTTTTGCTCAATATACGCATAGTACTAAAATCAAATAAATTAGCTAAACATAAAAATAATAGAAAATGCCTGTTTAACAATAGTCAGTGGTAAAATTATCTTTAGACTTGGCCACCTTTAAAAACTGACCACTTTTCCTAGCCTTTATTATTCTTGTTCAGTTCAGGTATGTTAGTAGCTGACATTTACCTTGATTGCTCTCTGTACAGAGTTAGAAATTGCCTAAATTGTGGGACAATCAACTTGTCATTGATATACTGTACAGTAATTCATTATTATAAAAGGCAGGTTAATGAAGGGAAGATTGCCATTATGCTATATTATTTATAACACTACAAAAGCCAACTGATTCAAATTGATTATTTTGGAAGTTTGGCTAGAATTTAAGAATTCCTGACTTTTAGAATTGCAAATTTAGCCAGGAAAAATGCACTCGACATTAATCTGAACTAGACTTTATATAGTATTTTATATAGTAGCACCTTTTTCACGAATATTTGTATTCATAGGCACTTTACATAAGAATATGCAATACAAAATATAAATTTAGAAATATATGATATTACCATATACAAATTGATTAAACTGATTTAGAATATTTCTTGAGATTAGTTATTGAAATATTAATAATTAAAATGAGACAAGCTATATAAAATGTTATAAAATCATTAAACTCAAACCCAGACTTTATTATTAATACACAGGGCAATCAAGATTTTTTTTTCAACTGAAATTTTTAGTTTACTGGTATTAGAGAAAATTCCAATTAATTGTTCCAAGCTATGTGCGATGCAAGTAGATTACCCCACTGTTTTTATAAATGAACACATATGATGAGGGGATAACATTTCATGAAATCACACTGTGGTCACTTGGTTATAAAAAAAAAACAAAAAGAAAAACATTCCAAAAACCTGAATTGAACTTAAAATATAAGGAAACTGCATTTGATTTCATTTCATTTCTTTAGGCACGACGAGTGCCAAAGATACCGTATGCCAATCAGTGAACTTAATCACTATCCTACGTGGCATATCCATTAAACAACGGGACTGAATGGACCAGTACACCGGGGTGACCCACTATACTTCTCGAAGGATGTACTGGGTCCTTTAAAGTGCACACGAGCCAAATGCGTACACTGGGCCTATGGTTTATATAGACGAGTGAGCCGTTCGAACCAGCGCCGATATTATAGCTGAAGGTTACGGTACCCCTGACTTAACCGCTCCCCCAATCAACTTGCAGGGCTCATAAACAATGATATAGATATGATTTGATCATTTGAATACTGACCCTTGTTTGCACAGTACTTCCGGGTTAATAAATATCAGCCTAGTTTCCCCCAAATTGGTTTTTTTTTTTGCAGAATTCTCACCCATGAACTTCAAATTAACCAATCAAAAAAAGTTTTTTGTAAAGTTTTCTGCTTAAACACACCCTAAAAAAACTGCTCTGAACACGAAGGATGTACTGGGCAGAATTCTCACCCATGAACTTCAAATTAACCAATCAAAAAAAGTTTTTTGTAAAGTTTTCTGCTTAAACACACCCTAAAAAAACTGCTCTGAACACGGTCTACTTTCTGGCAATGTTCCACATACTCATGGTCTAATTAAAAACCTTCATGTTTAAACCTATTGAACCTGTTAAACCTAAACGTACAGCAGTGTAATGCATTCTTAAGGAATACTGTAATTGACTTTGAAAGATAATTCCACTATTGATTGAACAGTTGCTTGATTTAGTAAATTTATGTACGCTACAGTATGTGTGGGAGCTTTAGGCTTTTATGGTGTATTTTTCATTCTGTAGATCCAATTTGGAATGTGAGAGTGCTCTACAATGTAAAGGACATATTTACCTTATTCCCTGGTGGAATGAAGTATTCTATGTAAACATGTTTATTTGCAGTATTTTGTAAACTTCGAAACTACTGTATCCCTTGTAGCAATTATGGACAAAAAAAATTGTATCTAAAAAAAAAAATGTAAATAGAAGTAAGTTGTTAATCGTCCTTTCCCCACATCTTCCCAAAAATGATCAACAACTCTTTTTTTTTTACATCATTGCCTAATTGAAGTGTTTTTCATTTTGTAGTGAAAGATTGAAATATTTCTTGATACAGTATACTGATAGGAACGAATTCTCTGGACAATTCCAAATATTAAATTTTACTGTCTAGGGGCCTGTTCGAGCAAAAAACGCCAACCGTATTCCATTTATTTCACCGAGTAATCGCGCTGAGCACTCAGCGGGTGGTCGACCGTTTGAGCAAGTTTTAGCTCACGGTAAATACGTGTAACGAAACTACTCCGCAAGTTAATTTCAACTTATCCCATGGTAAACAACCCATTCTTTGTTTACTTGCTACTGCTGCTATAACCGGCCCACGTACACGCAGCACAGTGGAACGATAATGTAGCTCAATAACTTATAATGGCTGCTTTAAAATCTGTACATAGGCTAGTTTATTCAAGTTTATTTCTTCGAATATGGTAAATCTACAAATCGATCGCGTGACTATGCTACTAAATTTAGATTTCGTCGTGCATGTGTGAGGAGGCGAAGGAGAGCTGCAACCACGCCTGGGCCGTAACCTATTGAATTTCCTGCTGGGCTGTGGACATTTGGAAAAACATTTAAGGTTGATTTATCATCGCCTCCGGCTCCACGGTCATTCCATACACAATGTCCGAGCGGTTTTAGAAAGTTTATACCGGTGAATTAACTGGTAAATCGCACGGATATCTTTTCGCTCAATCGGGCCCTAGGGTATTTCATCCCAAATCACCTAATATAGGAGGTTCCTAGATCACCATCTCAATGTCGGTCACATAGTCTAAATTGCTACCTTCTAATTCCCCTCTAAATTCTATGCCCCATCCAATTTATTTACTAAAATGTTTTTATAATAACAATACAGTGTCTAAAAAGTATGTGATTTTCTATCAATTGATTTTACAAGGTAGCATGGTATTAGTATAAATAGCAGTAACTTACTGAAAACTGTAATATTGCACCTTTATATCCTACTGTTAGTCAGGGCTGGAAAAAGCACGACTGCACAAACAGCGGTTGGAGGAAACATCAGTGTCCCAGACGCATTTTGGGGGGAAAAATGATAGTAAACGGATAAAATTTGATGCTGGTGCATTTTATCGAGACAATTTTCATGGTGGGTGGCACAAACATTTTTTTTTCCAGGCCTGCCTATAGTATTGCTGCTGTATGATTCTTGAATTTTCTCTGCACTCTCTACTTCTTTTTTACAGTAAAAAATTGACATGATACTGCAACATGTATAATAAGATTTATAGTAAGATTTATTTCACTCAGAATTTAAAATTTAAATCAATTCATAGTATTTTTAAATTGTGATAATATTCAACAATCTCATTCTTAACTCGTGTGTTTATTGCAACGCTGTTGTTTTAGTTTTTTATACTACATTTCTCATTTTAAGGAATAATACTCCTTAAGCCGGGTAATCACTGCACCGGACGCTAAAGCCCAACACATCAAGTGGTCATCTCTAAACCACTGGTCTACAACAAAGTATATAAAATAACAAATTAACAAATGGCTTTTATTTTTATTATTCTAATTAGAGACCAAAACTGCTAAAAACCACAAAAACCCCAGTCCCAAAAGAGGTTTTTAATTGGAGGAACCTCTTTAGTAATAAATTCGAAGATATACTTTGTACAGTTTCAATTGTTAACAGGCTAAGACAGCAGAGCACATAGGCAGACCATAATTTTTTACCTCCATGCGCAGACCTATCCTTATTTGAGAAAGTAAATTCTTATCAAGTCACTAGACCTAAAGCTTATCCCGATTTTCTGTAGCATGAAGCAGATGAGAGTGTGATTCCTCCACCCATGGATGGGATGCTGGTCCACTGCAGTTTACTCCCACCAATTTGCTGGTACCCATTGATACAACTGGGTACACTGAAGCAATGTAGATAAAATACTTTGCTCAAGGACACAAACACACAGCATTAAAACCCTGGTCAGCCTTGAGGCTTGGAAACCAAACCATTCCCTCTACGCCAAAATGCTTCCACCAATTTTACTGATAGGCATTGCTTCATTAACTTGAAAGAGGAGATAAACACTTTGTAGCAGGAGGTGTGAACTTTGTTTATACACCATAAACCATATGGCACAGTTAGGTATTAATTTGTTATGGTGTGAACATTGGTTTATATACAGTAAACCATATGTGGCAAAGACAAGCCAAACCAGTCACTCGTCGCAAAAATTGATTTTGAGTTATTAATACAGTGTTAGAGAGTAAAATAATAGCTATAAAATGGTAAAAAAAATCATTCAAATCGGACTTTTCCTTGTGAAGTTACAAGTGTTTAAACATACAGCTGTTTAAAAAACAATATATGAGAAATCAGCCTTCAAAGTTTATGATTTCAGGCATTTCTCATGCAGAAACTATCATCAAATCCTTAAAAATTGTTGTTTTAACATTGAAAATGGGGAGAATAATAGCATAGAATGATGTATAGATATGTAAAGATTAGTTTAGTGCAATAAAATAGATTTTTTTAAAATTTGACATTTAAGCATGGTTTGGCCATTTTCTCTGAAACACGATTTGCGACGAGTGACTGGTTTGGCTTGTCTTTGCCACATATGACACTGGATCTGTAGGTCATGTCATACCCTGGACCAAATCCACTGTGTAAATTGTCAAATTTTACATTGGGGTGGGTGGGTGGTAATTGCCTATAAGCATGCTTACGGGACTGAATTTAAAGCCAGGCACTCACTTCCCCAGATGGTCGTAGGCCAACGCAATTCTATGAGGAACGCAAGGACATGACCCACGCACAACGGATCGTTTTATCTATGTTGCCCTCGGGAAGATAGACTACGGTTTCCACATCACATCATGGCGATAGATTTCACTATTCCCCTCATGAGCAGTCAATATTTGTATAATATTATAACATATTTTTAATAAATATATAAATTGGAGGTGGTCTTTAATTGGAGTGGTCTTTAATTGGAGTGGTCTTTAATCAGAGGGAGACCTGTATTATGCTGCAGAATCCTGTTTCATCCCTGACCTTAAGTAGATACATTAATTTTAATCTATACAATATACCAAAGAATACTACTGTATACTGTATACTAGCTGCTCATTTTATGTTAGTGATTACTGGTGGTGAAATTGCATTTTTAATCTCATTTATTGGTTTTGGTAGGGATGGGATCACATACTGTAGGCTACTACTATTAATCGTATATGGTATTAGAAAGTGCCATAACATTAAACACAGGCCTACCATACATAAAGAATGGCATAAAGCTAATATTTACAAGATGTTTTATCTATTGAGATTGCATTTTTCTATCGGCCCATCTTCTATCCTTTATAAATGTATTCATGTCAATTGAGGGGTGGCTTGTTTTGTACTACCATAGGTCAATTACTGTATAGTTACACCATTTTAAGTTACGATTTACAAAACTGCTATTATCCTAATAAAATATACACAGAAATTCATCTAAAACTCATTTAGTAATAATGTATCTATATAGCCTGAATTATCTGATAAAAAATGCAAGTACATTAAATTTCAAATCAAATAGAAGTACAGTAGTAAAACAATATGGTGATGTGAATTGCCTTGACAACAGAAGTAGTTGTATTTTGTCTTGTAGAGTCTAATGTACCACTTACATTAATTGCTTAGACTAATATTATTCATCCTGTGCCGCACACAGTAGTATCCAAAATTAGATATGGTATCTAAGAAAATATTGTCTTTTCCCATGTCCTTAAATTAATTAAATTACATGCAAGGTATGGATTTTCCTTCAATTATTATTAATGCCACTTTATTAAACCTATAATCAAATTTCTGAAATTTGATTAAAGAAGATCATGTGTCATCAGCAAACTTGGTTTCTCTTAACATATTTTATTAATGTATTAAGCAGATTAATCTTATAAGTGGATTTGTATCTGTCCAATATATTCTTGAATAAATTTGAATATCAAATAGGGTTTCCAGTCCATATTTTTTTTAATGTTTTTTTTTATACAGATAGGCCTATACACTTGTAAATGTATAGTTTAAAATTGTCGTCTCCTGTCAGTTTGTATTTTCGTAAGACATTAATCTGAGGTTGTTTGGGATATCCTATTTACCAGTAAAAATATCTACGTAACTGGTAAAAATGTTGTGTTTGTAATATAATAATTTAAAAAAAAAACCAAAAAAAATGATTAGGCCTACAGTAGGTAGTCTAGTCTGGCCTTTTCCCAATGAAAGAACAATATTCAAGTCTATGCTGATGCTATGACTGTACAGTATTTATTTTTTTTTAAGTCATTAAACCCCATAGCTGAATTTTTACAAATTTACTAGTAAATAAGTTAAGTAGAAGAACATGGCTCAGTGTTAAAGAAATATACTTTAAAAATTGTATTGTTCAAAGTGTTTGATTCTTATTATGCAATTGTTGTTGGTTTGGAGTTATAACATTATAAATCAATTGTACTTGTTTTTAGGTGAAGACAGGATTGTTGAATTTGGTGAATGTATCAAAGCCTGCTGAATTAGTGCAAGTGCAGTTGTCCCTGGAAACGCTTACTGTTCAAAGAGAACAACTAGTGTACGTGGATGCAGTCAAACGTCTTGTAAGAATTTCAATCTCTCATCTTCTTTTCATTGATAAATTGTCTATAAACCTAAATTGCTCTGTAAGGTATTTATACATACAGTATGTTCTGAGACAAAAGCCAGCTGTACCGTAGTATCTACTCTATAAAGTACTTACACTATCTGTGCAGACCCGTATAACTAGGATTGTGGGTCGGTTACATATGAGAGCCAAGGGTCTATGGGTTGCCTAGGTTCCCTGGTGGGTACAGAGAATGAGCCCTAGTGGGGTCCAGATTTGAAGCCCCTAGAGCTGAAGCATTTTTAACTTATACAGATACAGTACATGTCTATCTACAGTGTCATGTATTTGTCAATTTCATGCTCTCAATTTCTCTATCAAAATTCATCTTTTTATAATATCTGTAATGTATTTATAATATATTTTCAGAGATGCTATGCTGTAAAGCTATAGTGGATTGAGATTAATAGGCCTATCTATTTGTATTTATCTATATACATATATAATATGTGTATAAAGCTATCTGTATTACTACAGTATACAATTTTTCAATGTTGCTATTTAAGCACTGCTATTATTTTTTTATATTGTGTTTACAGTTCTGCGCATCAAAGCTAATTTGAATATTATTTTATAATGTCTACATCTGCAATCTACCATATATCACTGCCTATTGATATCATTAGCAATTAAAGACAATATATAATAATCGTCATTAATCAATAGTAATTATAATCATCATAAAAACTAAAAACAAGTACAGGTATTTCATTAATATATAAAGCCTTGTTAATTATAATGGCTTAGCATACTAAAGGAATTTTTTTTACCATGACTAAGAAAAACTGTATTTGCATATCGTAATATTTATGTATTCATCAATTAGTTTATATTTATTACAGGCTAATGGTTCAGATATAGATTCTACCAGGGTAAGTATGATGCATATTCTCTTTTTACAAATATTTCAGAATAAAGACATCAAGATTTTTGTTAAAGTGAAAGCTAATTATATATTGCAGTGACATGTATAATCTAAAGAATGCAAGATAAAATTGTATATATCTACACTTACGTAGTGTCCAATCAAGACTCTCATTCATTGTAATTGCAGCAGTAGAGCTCAAATTGATTTAAGTAATACTGTAATGTTGCTCTGCATTTTATTGGATTTATTTCGAAATTCTTAATTACTTCAGTGTACAAAATCAGATAAGTAGAAATAACAACATTATAGAGAATTTCAGGATAACCTTTAAGCCGGTTACTTACTGTGTGCGACGACAAGGCGACGAAGAACGCACGCGAAGATGTGGACACAACGGACATCTTTTTAATGAGGATCCGTTCAGATTGCCACTGACAATTAGCATACGGCGTTGCGTCATCTATCGCTCGCCGGAAGCAAATGTGGATTCGTCGTGCGATGGTCGTATGACGAAGTGAGTGTCCGGCTTTAGACCAAATAAAATTATTTGCTAGTTTGACATCCCCTTCCTCTTAAAATTTTGGAGCTGCATGAATAAATGTACTATTTACAATTTTTCAAAAAAAAACCAAAAAAACCCCAATTATTTTTCCATGAAATATAAAAATAATTATAACATCAAATAGTTTTTGTAAAAGCCAAAATTTTGAAACATAAATGACTGAATACATTTCAAAGGTTCATTTTACTTCTTGTATATATAAAAAAAAATCAATTTTGGTTATAAACCAGTCTGTTTACCACTAGTATATAGAATAGTAAATAACAAATAGTAAATGCCCTCACCAAAAAATAATGTCAAATCCTGGATGTGAAAAACCAACAATTTTTTTAATAAGGCTTTAAGCACTGGTGCTTGGTTCCGAAGAGGTCCTAATTTTTTATTAAATACTGACAATTACTTTATTTTAGAATCTCAATATACATTTTTTCAAAGTTATTTTGTGCACTTTGTTTGAGGTGCATATACCTATGTTAAATCATAATTGTTTTGAAACATTTAGTGTTGTGCTAAAATTAAACCCTGTAGGCAGAACGCAGCATTTTATAATACAGTAATTGATAATTGTACGTTATTTCCAATTCAGGAACGTTTAGTTGTTGTTAAAAGACAGAAAATTGGCGGTCTCGGACTCAGTATCAAAGTAAGAGACTTATTTTTAATTATTTTATGAAAGATTCTTTCATGTTGAGCCAGTGGTAACAGAATAATTTTCTTACATGTGCATTTCGATTCCGATTAGCGGTCTTTTCCAACTGACTGAAGAACGAAACCCACTTTACATATTTACGGTCATGATGTCTATGGTCCGAAGACGTTTAGCGACCTTTTGAGATGTTACAAGGGCCCCACCACTTTGTATTTTTTTTTTTTTTTTTATAAAAGTTCATTATAAATGTATGTTTGTGATACCATACAAGCCATCATCCCTGTTCATGTTGTTCTTTTCTTTCTTCAAATCCAAATCGATTCTCTTACTTTTTCCTGTTAAGCTGAATCTTTTCTAAAGATTTTGTCTTCCCAAGAAAGAAAACCTTTTGTCTTCCCAAGAAGGAAACCTATTTGGCACTTGGAACCAGATGCATTTCTTTTTTCATCTTGTTTTATTCATGTGTTAAAAAGTTTTATTATTGTAACTTGATTGATAAGATGTTGTCTTCCAACCCCAAGTCTTAATCCCAGATCCTGAAAATTTGATATCTAAAATATTAACCAGTTGCACTTTTTCGGCTTCATAACAGAATTTATTTAATTTGTAAGTGTCATAGTGTCTTTTCATTCTCTAAACTGGCAGGTTTCCTGCATTTGAATGAGAAAGAAATAAAAACCAAACAAAGTTAAATTACCTATGGATTTAAGGAGAAATAGAATATGTTTAAGGTGGTTTAGGATTCAACCCCTGTAGTCATTATAAGTGTCTTGAGTTTGAAAATCAAGCTGTCGCGAGATAATGATAGGGTTGTCATAACAGCCGGTATACCTTCGGGACGTTGATGTAGAATTGATAATATCAGTTAAAATGGAACATCAGCATGTAGTAAGAGGTTTGCCTTACATCCAAATTCACTTTGTGCTGTCTCATTTACAGTACTTAGTCTGCCAATATTGCCCTATGAGATTTCATTGAGTGGGAGTTTGTGGCTCAAAGGACAGATATGTACTTGCAAAATATTGGGGTTTGAGTATGTGACTGAACACTTGTTTGCTTCCATGGGTCAAGCTACTTTATCAACATCTTTGCCTTACATCGGAATTCACTTTCTGCTGTCTTTTAGTCTGTAAAATTTATCCTATGAGAGGTCATTAAGTGAAAGTTTGTGGTTCACATCTTCACCCAGAATTATAAAGTGTGTATCAGTTAGGCTTGAATGCCAATAGTACATATTACAACAATCTTCAATATCATAGAGTGCTCCCTTGGTATAGTAGCGGAGTATCTGCTTTGTAGGAACATGTTGTGCAGCGTGTAAGATGTTGGACTTTCAATCTGAAGGTCCGGGGTTTGCTGTATTCTTTATGCAAGACACTTTACAGTATCTCTGCACTTGCCTCTCTTCTCCCAGGGTTATAAATGGGTACTTGGTTGGAGTTTCAGAATGTAATTAGTAGTGCTCATTACATGCATAACTAGGAAGCAGAAGAGGTTGCACGCTGTGTATAGTAGATTCTGCATCTAATGGCCAGGGAAAAAAGCACCTTTAGCAGATTTCCAGATACTGTATGTACACTATATAAATCCTATAAAATAAAATAAATAAATAGCCTATGTTCTCCGTTAAGAGTTTGACCCAATGAATGGGGTATTAATGTGAGGAGCAGAGGCATTTGCATTTATTTTTTAATCTATATTTTCAAGTTTCTAATTTAAGTTTCCAAAGTTAAGTTGAACTTATTATTACATTGATTTTTTTGATTTTTTTTTTTTAAGGGAGGTGCCGAACATAATATTCCAATTTTAGTTTCAAGGATTTTCAAAGGCCAAGCAGGTTGGTTGTTATTTTTAACTGTTAGAATAGAGAAATTGATTGATTTAATATTGGAAGTAGAGTTTATTGATAACTTTGGTGATTTCATTACCATGATGTTGATGATTATAATTTATGCAAAAATGATTTCCATGATATCGGTAATGTTGAGGTTCAAATAGGTGATGGTTATAATGTTAACAATGGCTGTGGGTAGGTGAGGGTCAACAGAGTGATGTTAAAGATGTTTTGATAATGAATGTGGTGGTCTTGATGGTAGCAGTTGTGGTGACGGTGATGTGGTGATAATATTAATGATGACCTGGTACTTTTTAGTGGTGGGTGTGATAAAGGTGGTTGTGGTGATAGTGGAAATTTTTTTTTATGGTTTTGTTTTTTTTATTTCATTTATTCATTTCGAAAAACAAACAACAAGATACAGAAACAACAGATACAGGATTTCCAACAGCGAACACAATGAAACTACAAAAAGGGTTGATGTGATGATGTTAATGATAAAATTATGATGATAATAAATAATTTTTATAACGACAACAATGATGGTAATAACGGTGGTATTATAATATTGATGATAATAAAATTATGAAATAATTTTGAATATTGTTATTTATAATAGTTTAATGAAATTCACAACATGTTATTACATTGCCTTTTAGATATCAAAAATAGTATGCATTTTTTGCATTCAACTTGCCATGCTGCTAACAAAATGCAATATGTTGTTATTGTATCACGCAATCTGTCTTAAATGCTTGATAACTGTTTAATTCTAATCCTAATTCCTAACTGAGATTTTCTGTGGCATTTACAGCGGATTGTAGTGGCAATTTATATGTTGGAGATGCTATTCTTAAGGTGAGTCCTTAAGTGTTACTGGCTTCTGCTCTTGTTTACATTAGTTTTAAATTTTTTTATTATATAGGCCTATATTTATTTTATTTTTCTGGATACATTATGATTTTTAGATTTTTCAATAATATCACAATGGAAATACTGTAGTATGTCTTAAAAATACATTCTTTTTAAAAGGTTGAGCAAACTTAAAATTGACAAATTTACTGAAAAGATTATATTGATATTGCCATATATTAATTCTCATCAACATTATCAACAGCATTGATCAAAATCATTATTATAATCAGCAGCATCAATGTCAACAGTATCAACAACATAACCATCGTAAATACTATTTAAAGGTCATAAAAATTATCAATAACTTTAACAGCATCATCATCACCATCATATCAACAGAATTTGTGTTCATTATCACCAGAATCAAAATCTTAATCACTGCATGAGCATCATACTCATTATCAACATCATCACAGGCCTTTAACCAGGGGGCTTGGAAGGTTCGGCCGAATGCGTGCTCCCCCCCCCCCCCTTGACTTGATAGTAGTATTTTATCATAACTTTGTTTTAAAGAAACACTTGTGAGTTAAACTTGGCCTACAGGAAACCTGCTTCCCAGGCCTGCAACGGTATTATTGTGTTTATCAAAAGAATCAGTAGTATGGAACCTGAATAAGCTGAAGCAATATGTTTATTATGCAATTAGTTTAAAATATAATTTTTTGTGCCCAAAAGGTTACAATTTGTACCGTACTTGACTACATTCAAATCTGTGTTTTAATTTTCCGAATAGAACTTTATGGTCACACGATAATAGCCGGTTGCTTGGTGAATTTCTGTAAAGGTCCTATTTTCAAGTACTGTATCTTCTATTAAGAATTCTATGGGTGTTGCAAATATTATACATTGATTTGTAACATCAGTACTATTGATTATTATTTAAATTTGATTATAGACCATCTTTAGTGATTGAGTTGTAGAATTAATTAGGCTACCCTGGCTATTGGACATTAAGCTAGTATTGATTAAGTGATAAACTCAAAATCAGAAGGAAAACCAATGTACTGTGATTTGTGATGATATTTTAGAAAATAATAATAATAATAATAATAATAATAATAATAATAATAATAATAATAATAATAAATTTAGACACTGAAAATAGATCAGTTATTGGCAGCCACTGACTAGACAATCTAGTTGGCATATTACTTCTCATGATCTTTATATTCTATTGTGAACATCTTATTTGACACAAATTAGTAATTATCTTATAAATTTTCTTACTAATTAAACCATTTAATGAATAATGTGTAGTCCTTTCCTTAGATATAATAATAAACTAAAATGAACTAAACTTTCTCGTCACTGGCACACTCCTTAATGAAAAGTCCATCTAGAACAATCAATGTAAGAAAAAAAACAAAGCAGAGTGTAACAATGGATACTTAAACTAAAATTAAAATGCAGTTCAATCCTTTCCCTTTTTTCCTACCAGTTAGGCTGGTTTTACTTAACTTGCTGCCATGTAAAAAAAAATACTGTAATTTTTCTCTCAGACATTTTTTAAAAACACAGAATGCAAGCTCACGGCTCAACTGACATCCTGGTACATCGTAATTACCTGCTACACAACCTTGACAGCTACAATAATACTGTACATGACTGCCTGAGTTTCCATTGATATAGCCAAGTCTAACATAACCATTGATGATTAATCATTGGTGTTTCATCATTAATGATTGATCAATTTTTGTTGATAATTGACCATTTAAATGTTGACCATTGATGACTGACCCTTTAAAATTTGGCAATTGATGCTTGACCATTGATCAATTGATCATTCATGATTACTGTAATCATTGGTGATGGTCAGTTGATAGGTCATTGATGATGTGACCATTGAACATTAAATATTGGAAATTGACCATTGATAATTTGTCAGTGATTGAATGTTGATTTATTGATGATTGGTAATTGTTAATTGATTATTATTGATCGCATTGACTGACCATTTGGTATTCCAAGTAATTCACTAAATCTTAAATTGCTGTATTCTTATTTAATTAGCATTTGAATTTAATTAGATACCTACCTATAGTTTCTATTTTCTTTTTATTATCTAAATATTATTTATTTTTAGTTTATTAATCTATTCTTTCTTTATTCTGAAATACACTTTCAATACAATGTACTTGTTTCTAAAGTGGTTCAGTAAGATAAAAGTAACAAAACATATAATCAATAAATGTAACTTACCTAACATAAAACAAGAAATTTTCATTTACCGTCGGTAGATAATTGTATTGTGTGTTTTTTCCTATTATTTTGTTCTTTTTATAATTGCAAGCAGATAGATAGTTTATGTTTGTTTGTATAAAAAAATAAAATGTTGACAACCTTGAATTATTTAATTTCTTAACAGGTGAATGGATTGAGCATAGACAATGCTACACATGATGATGCTGTAAGTATGGGGTAACATAGTCACCCTTTTTCTTTTCCCACGCGCACGCACACACACACACACACACACACACATACCCACACCCCCACACACACACACCCACACACACACACACGCGCAATTATAAATATCAAAATACACTAGGGAGTTAAGAAATGCTACTGCTTTTAAATGCTACTTTTAAAAGTAGAATTTTCAAACATTTTTGTATATTCTGGCAAACGTTCATAGCCCAAGTGCAGGAAGTGAACATGTCGTAGAACAAAATAAGCTTCAAACGATACCATCAATCTTTAATGTTCCATGTGGTGACCCTTCCACGCACGTTCCCTAATTCATCATATCTACCTTCAGAAAACTAATTAAAACTTTTTCCCAGTAATGTGTTCACCTAATCACTGGTTTGGATTCATTCTCTATAATGCTTTGATCTGTGTAAAAGCACTATATAAGAGAGAATTATTGTTGTTTTTGTGCTGTCATTATTGTTATACCTCTTCGCTCCACCCCTCTCCCATTACTCTTTTAATATGCTTAGTTAAAAAAAAAAATTACAGTGTTTAGATTTTTAAATTGTTAATCTTTTCCTTTTTGAAATCAGGTTACTCATGCTAATAAACCTTAATAAGAGTGTTTCTATTTTGATTTTGTTCATTTTTTTTTTCATAGGTAACTGCTTTGAAGAATGCTGGTGCTGAGGTACATTTGACTGTCCGTCATTTTAGGGCTGCAACACCTTATCTTCGTCAAGGAGGTGAGCTTTATCGATTCACTGATGGTTTTGAATATTGCCATGAAACTCTGCAACCAGTAATTTTGTTGATTTATATTTATTACCTTTAATAATGTAAAATAATGCGAATGAGACAGCTGTTCCATAAATTATTATTTTCATGTATGACCTGTCAGTTTCAAGCAAACCAACCTCAATCAGGCGATGTGTAAATTTCCTGTCATGTGACAAATTTGTAATGATGAATACTTCATGGCACTAAAAAAAATATATAAATAAGTGAGGTTTTCCCTCCCAATACCAGCGTACTGTTGCAAATTGGAAAACTGTGAATGTGGCCGTATTGTATACTTCAGTACAGAGAAGCCACAATACTTGTACACATAACTCTGGCAATAGTAAGTTGACTTTAGTAAATGACCCATCATTTGAGGAGAATAACAAAATATGTAGCCAAACCAATATATAAAAGCCAAACCAGTCACTCATCGCAAATCGTGTTTCAGAGATAATGGTCAAAACATGCTGGAATGTCAAAATTTTTGAAATTATTTTATTGCACTAAAACCTTTATATAATCATATTCGTCAGGCTATGCTGTTATTTTTCCCATTTTCAATGTTAAAACAACAATTTTAACGATTTTGGTGATGGTGTCATCATCTTTGAAGACTGATTTCTCAAATATTGTTCTTTAAACAGCTGTGTGTTTAAACGCTTGTAACTTCATAAGGAAATGTCAGATTTAAATGATTCTTTTACAATTTTATAGCTTGAATTTTACTCTTTAACTCTGTATTAATAACTAAAAATCGATTTGACTGGTTTTGCTTGTTTTCGCCACATTTTATTTTTTGGTCACTGATGCTGGTTTTGGAATGGTAAGCCTTAAGCCGGACACTCATTTGCTTCCGGTGGGCGATAGATGACGCAACACAGTCTGCTGATTGTCAGTGGCAATCTGAACGGATCCTCATTAAAAAGATGAACCGTTGGGTTTGCGTCTTCGCGTGCGTTCTTCATCGCGTTGCCATCGCGTCGCAGTCGCACGCAGTGAGTAACTTTCTTTAAATATTTATCCACACATACACGTTGGTATGAGAATATTTGAAGGTTGCAAAGATTTAAGTTGCGTTTTATGTATGCCTTCTTGTTATATTATATTTTTATAATTTTCTTGTCATCTTCAAATTTGACAGTGAAGAAGCCACCTGACATAGAAGAAGAGGATAGACTTGGACAGGCTAATGGAGATGCAAATTGGCAGGTAACCAAAACATTTTTTTTTTTATATATATATATATAAGAATGTATGTCTGATGAGCCAGAACAGTCATTTACTTTCTTCAATTTGACTTGTAAATGAACAGACTCAAGAATCATTACTTAATCCTTTTAAATCAGAATTGAATGCTATAATTAAATATTCTAAAGTTTATCTCAGACTGCATACCTTAAATTAATTCAAAAGTAATTGCTAAAACCTGATATGTTTTTATGTAACTTTAAAGAAATTCCAAATTAAATGTCGATAGAGAACAAATTCAATTTAATAATAATGCTAAAATATATTTAATGCTTGTGGGTATACCACGTAGATAGTTCTGAAAAGAGCTGTTGTTTTGTTGAGAATGTCTCTATGATGAGACATATAGGACATTCAGTTTTTTTCAGAACTATTTATATGGTCTACCGCAAGCAATTGATATATTATTACTTTGAATTGCAATCCTTCAAACAATAATATTGTAATATATTAATAGTACCATGCATAAATTACCAATTAATGAAACTTTGAGAATTGAAAAGCAATTAATAACTTATTTAATCTTTTTAAGTCAGAATTGAATGTTATAATTACAAGTCTCTCTTCAAATGTTTATCTCAGGCAGCATACCTTAAATTAATTTAAAACTAATTGCTAAATCCTGATGTATGTTTTTGTGCAACTTTGAAGAAACTCCAAAATGTGGATAGATAGAAAACAAATTAAATGTAATAATATTACTGTATTAATAATAATAGTACTAAGTATCATGCCTAAATGGCCAGCTTAATAAATAGTCTTTAATTTGGAGAATTTAAAATCAATTTGTAACCTACATGATTTTAAATCAACAAAGTTTATAGTGTACAATGTAATTCAATTAATGTCACTCACTTATAGTCCAGGTCACTTGCAGACAAGACAACCACAGATGCCCCTCCTAAGCCTCAGAAAACCTGGATAGACGCGTTCTCCATTCCTCTGTTCATGGCCCGTTTAACCCGAAGTCAACTGGGGTCTGATAGAGTCAGGTGAGGGGTCAATAAATGAATATTCATGAACTTGTCATTTCTTGCAACCTAGATTTGTATAGATTTAAATCTATTTTGATGTGTGTTTGTGTCAGGGAAATATCATAGGAGTGTTTCTTCCTACCTGACGTTATCGTACCGAATACTCCACCAAAATACATGCAAAGAAAATTGCAAGTGATTCAGGTGAGAATCGAACCCACAACCTCCAGATAACTAACCTGGTGTCATAGCCACTACAGAGCTGGTAGCTTGTAGTGACTAGTGTTGAATCCGATCCCCAAATAGCAGCAGGTACTGCAATGGTATTTCAATGTGTTTGCATCAGCAAAATATGATATGAGTGATTTTTTTGCCCTACCTGATAAGTTAGCGCGAATACTCAGTATCACTTAATTAACTCAAGTATTTTGGAACGTACTGAGTTATTCCGTACGATTAAACATCAGGTAGGGCAAAACATCACTCATTTACATATTTTTTTTAATATAGACTGGATATTAATCTAAAAAAAATTAAATTATATATTTGAAATCTTATAATTGGACAATTCAGTTTTGTTCAATTGAATTTCATTGAGTTTTTCATATTTTACAACTTTAAAAATAAGTCACAGGAAGGTCGACCTTCTGCAAAAGTTTAATTGAGAACTACTGTATATCCAATGATTACTGTGTTGAACTAATTATGTTTATTGTACATTTTGTGAATTGTAGGTCGAATGCATTTGAACTGTGCTCTATGGACAGTGCCAGTTCAGGTGTTTTTCAGTGTGAAGATGAGAGTGAGCTGCAGGACTGGTTGAGAACAATTTCAGCACACATTGCAACGCTAAATGCGCAATCAGTAAGGCCTATATTTGTACATTCTGTTTATAAATCAATCAGGGACTTTTTAGTATAGAGTAAATTTTTTGTATTATTAATCAATACCGTCTGTGTTGCGCTAAAAAATCTTGAAAAAAAATAATACTTCTAATTATTATTATTAGCTGTAATATTTAGTTATTCATAAACATACACAAAGTACAGTAAGCCTGTCTAATAATAATAATAATAATAACTCACATTTCTGTGGTCTCTCAGAAGCTAATCGGTTCAACTAATGATCTAAAACACTGGTTGTCTAGGTTAAGCTATGCAAATAACGGTTGCCTGCTGTTGTGTAAATTAGCCTCCATTGCTGGTACAGTATGGCATTTGCATTGGCATAGAGGATATATACGTAACAAATACTGTTCTTGTATTCATAGACCCAATTAATTTTATTTTAATCAGTTAATATTACCATAGTGAGTGGTCTGTCAGTCTGGGAAAAAAAAAACCTGTTTTTATTTGTCCATGAAATTTAATATCTTAATGCTTTAAAATAATGTATTTAATACTCTACTTGAATATTTGAGGTTTATCTATATTTCATGAGAGTTATCATTAACAGGGGATAGATAGGCAAACTGTTGCAACAAAATTCATGCCTCAACTTACGACGGTTTGATTTTATATAAATATTCAGATACTGTAATTCCAATTGGTTGGCTTATAATGATTGTAGAAAGCTCGCTGTAATTTTATATAAAACTGTGCTTGGTTTATTATCGATTATAAATTTCTACGGTCTGATTTCATGTTACTGTTTTATTGAACAAAAAATCCTAGTGCTTTAATAATGGAAGAAAATTTTTTCATTTCATTCAATTTCAATTTTTTCAGATGAAGATTTCAAATGATCTGTTGAAGCCTCATGACCAAGTGAGTATAATTGATGATTTCCATTGTTATATTGATTGATTAATCAAACTATTGTCTGTAGTTATTTATTGATAGATTGATTGAGTGATTTATTGATTGATTGATTGATTGCATATTAAAGTATTTAATAATTTCATTGGACCCAGTAATAGGTAAATATATGGTTCTTTTATGATGGTATAAAGTTACGGATAGACTTGACATTTTTGCCTGCTTCTACCGAGGCTTAGTCATAAGTGACGATATGAAGATGACGGCCCCCGCACATCCTGCTTGGGATATCCCAAGCGGTCTGCTGGTAAAGGTCACAGTCAGGGTTCATCGGAACCAACATCACAATGCTCTCGATCGTCATATCGTCACTTATGACTAAGCCTCGTTGGTCCTAAGCAGGTGAAACGTTAAGTCTGTCTGTAAGTTTATACCATCCTTACTTATACTTGATTTTTGGATCATCATAAAAGAACTATATATTACTGCATTGCATATTCATTGATTGTTTGAATATGCTCATTTGATTGATACATTTGTATAAATTATTTTAGGGATTGAATAGTAGTGATTGATTGGGTATCACTGGTTCATTAATGGATTGATTACTATTATTATATGTATAATTTTCTTTTTTTCCCTTTCAGATTATTCATATGGGTTGGGTGTCTGAGCGTCAGACCAATAACCAAAGTGTTATTTGGAAATACAAGTTTTTAGCTATCAGAGGTTCAGAATTACTGATCTTTGATACACCTCCAGTAAGTGCAAAATTTTAATATACCAAATACATGTATGCACATGTATAAGGCACTCTATATACATTTGATTCTTACAACTTGGGGAATATGAATAGGCATTTGGTAAGATATAGTAACATTGATTGTCTTTTTGCTGCACAACTAGCTAGGAACAGGTGGGGGAGGTTTTGTGTTGTGTATACTTATTCAATATGGATACAATATTCACTGGTAATAATGTTGTAAGAACTTTAATAAAAATTGTTGTTGTAGGCATCATTTTGGTGGTTATCCTTCATCAACCTCATGGCCATAGCAATAATGAATATTACTGCAACTATTGTAAAGTAATAATTTTTTTTTTCTCAGGTAAATACACATGAGTGGTTTAAACACGAAAGATGTTACAAGCTGTCAGAAATCTTGTCTAGAGTTTATAAGGTACTTTCTTGATTAAGTCTTGCATAATATGCTTACCGTATATACTCGCGTATAACAAGATTTAAGATAGCAAATTACGATTGAAAAACGGGGTCGTCCTATACGCGTGACATACAAATTTTAGATTTATTGAACCATGCTTGTCTGATATGCAGGTCGTCTGTAACACACACATTTACTACTGCAATGGAGCAACAATAATAGTATGAATGAATGCAATTTTAAGGACAAAGAAATAAGATTTTGATAAACATATAAAAACTCATAAATGGTATTATTTTGGAAGAAAATCTATGCATTGGCTCCGTTTTTAGCCAGCTAGATGCATTATATGCAGGTCGCCTATGAGTATATACATAATGTTTTGCTTGCACAAGGACGAAAGTTTACGATCTCTTATGAAAGTATTATATCCCCATTATTGAATGTCTGTTTTGATAGAATCTAGATCCTGTTGCCTGACAAATGATAATGTAATGAAAATGCAACTACTATTGCCTAACATTATGTCTGAATTAAGAATTTTAAAAACACATTTTGAGCTCTCTTTATAAGAAAAGTCCTATTTCGTTTTGTTTGTTCCTTATTTCTATATTTATATTATTTCACCAAAATGGCTACATAGGAAATTCGGCCCTCACAGAGGTCTGGTTTAAATAAAGTATAGAACATGCAAGTTATATTTGCCTATTCCATATCTCACATAGACCAAATTATCAGTGGCAGCATCAGCAGCAATCAAGGAAATCCTCACCCAACCCTCTGGACAAACATGTATGCCAATTTGAGGTCATTGGACTACAAAAATTATTAATCGTTGATTCGTCCAAAATAAAAAAGTTCCTGATATTGTGGTCTAAAGCATAACTTTCCCATCTTGTGTTTGAGTACACTTTGTGTACCAAAGGGCACTGTTTATGTTGAGCATGGAAACTAAAAGAATAAATTCTATACTTAAATTTTTCACAAAAATAAAAATGAGTAAATGTTGTCCACTCTGATTAACAGACGTAAAAATAATATTGTTCTGATATATTTTTACATAGATGATTAATATGTTGTATGCCCATACATATTCATGATGTGCCTATATATGGTTATGATGTGATGACATCATGACCATATTTAGGCATGTCACATGTTTTTGTCAAATATAATTTGATAAATGATAGTCCGTACATTGCTAAAGAATGTTCATAGTAAATAGTGGATAAATAGCTAAAAACCAACCAGTTTGAAGTTAATAACTTTTCATTGATCCTTTAAAGTGAGAAATTTAATTACTGTTATTGAATGTTTGAGGTTTCCCCAGATGTGCTATTGATTGATTTTATGGTGGTTATTTTTCAATTGTCTAAGCAATGTGAAAGTTAACTGTTAGTAGCAGTGGTTTACTTATATCAAACTATTATCATTACAATTTCTTGAACAGTTACTTATATGTTATTGTCTTATGTTTGTTTATTTTGTTGTTTTATCTTTGTCGAGTTCATACAGATTTTGTTTGTTTTCGCTATATATCCATATTTATGATATTATTATCATTATTGTTATTTATCTGTTATTTCAATTATTTTTAACTGTTCCTACCTTTTGAATGCTTTATTATTCTGAAGTCGATGACCGTATTTAAAAAAAAATTAACTTCCTTGTTTTGTTTTTTTCTGTTCCTGTAGGATGTGGAATTACTTGATGAACGTCCGTATTGCTTTGGAATAGAAGCGGGAGAGGAAAGCCATTACATGAGTACAGAGACAAGAAGCGAAATGGCCGTGTGGCATAGTGCAATCCACCAGGCAACTCACGCAGCTGTGATTAGACTTAGAGTATGTCGAGTCCGGTCTTTTTAGTAGGATGGTTGATTGGTGGTAATAGTGAAAATGGTTGTGGTTATCAAGCGGAATAGAAATGTAGCTTTGTGGTTAAGATGATTGGGTCATTGAGTTTAAACTTGTCAAACATGGTTTTATCACATGGGAAAAACAACTAAAGTATATTCCCAAAGCTTTCATAATGTTAATAATAATAATTAATAATAATAATAATAATAATAATGATAATATTCAATATTTTAGTACTATTCCAAATTATAATATATAATATTTGTCATCATTGTCATATTCATCATCACCTTTATCATCAGCATCATCATTGTCATCATCTTTAGTTGGGCAAGTCGAGTAGCCGAGCAGTAAGCCAGGGGCGCCACTAGCTACAACACTATTGGTGTTGGTTCCCACTACTCCTTGTCCGTGGTTCGGTTGGTAGAACCAAGCCTTCTCGAATAAGGACTTAAAATGGAGGTCCAGTGTATACATTTGGCTCGTGTGCACTTTAAAGAACTCATTGCATCTTTCGGAAGAGTAGGGGGTTACCCCGATGTTATGGTTTATTTCAGACCCTGTCATTGTGGAATGATGTGAACATGTAGCTACTATAAGCACTTCTTTACAGCTGCTAGGTAGTCATGGACCACAATCATCTTCATAATTATTATCATTATGTTCACCATTATAATCTTCATGATCATCATTATCATATAGTCATGTTAGTGATACACATACAGCAATATGATTCAAGATTAATAATTAAATATTTGTATGATCTTTACTTGAATAATATTGTTCTTTGATTATATTTTTATTAATATACTTAAATGTATAATAATACTGAAAATATTAGCACAAATTTACTTGTTTTCACAAACCAGTGACAATATACAGTACAAATGATTTTTTATTTATTTTACATTTTCTCCTTTTTTTTTTTACAGAATAAAACATATGGCTGCACTTGGAAGAGAAAAGTTGTTGGATTCACTCTTGACTTTGAAACAGGTTTTACATTATTTGATGCACAAAATAAGGTAAAAAGCAGTAAATAATTATTGTAATAATATTTTTTCCTGATCCCAGCTGGGTTAAAATGAGTAATTGCGACAGTTCGTTTGCTTCCACCGTCCTCACTCTAGCATTGCTGAAGATAAATGAGTAATTGCGACAGTTCGTTTGCTTCCACCGTCCTCACTCTACATTTGCTGAAGATAATAATTTTTGTAATATTTTTATCTCTCAGTGCCTGAAAATGATATGCAGTAAAGTAAGAAATTATCTCATATTGTTATGCTTTAGGCTGCATTATGGACATACAGATTTTCTCAGCTCAAAAGTTCATCAGATGATGGAGAATCCAAAGTCAAGCTGCATTTCTTTAATACAAATAAAAATGCAACAGAAATTCAGGTATGTTATATGGAGATGTGCCATTCTCAATTTCGTCTTGAAATTTAAAGCCTGTCCACACTATAAAATTGTATTTGACAAAACATGTGACATGCCTAAATATGACCATCGTGACATCACATCATGACTATATATGGGCACATCATGACTATATATGGGCACATCATGACTATATATGGGCACATCATGACTATATATTGGCACATCATGACTATATATTGGCACATCATGACTATATATGGGCACATCATGACAATATATGGGCACATCATGACTATATGGGCACATCATGACTATATATGGGCACATCATGACTGTATATGGGCACATCATGACTATATATGGGCACATCATGACAATATGGGCACATCATGACTATATATGGGCACATCATGACTATATATGGGCAGATCATGACTATATATGGACACATGTCAATGTGAAGCTACCAATAGTATATAGCACACACAGTTATGCCTCTTTCACACATTCACATTTTGTGTTGCGATGGAGCATGATTTTTAAAAGTTCTAAAATTGTGCTCTACCGTAGTGATTCATGCTCAAAAGGTTCAGGCTATCAGGATGCTGTCAAGATGTATTATGGCAGTAATGCAATAGTTTGACGACATTGTTACGAATTATAACGATAGAGTTACGACAACATTAAGATTTGTCACAACGTACTACGAATTACCCAGATTGTATTACAATGTCACTATGATTTTACAAAAGCAAAAGCATGATGTCAATATGATTTACCGAGACGCCTGTGTGATTTAACTAATCACATTACAGAAAAGGTGCAATTGACGAATATTTGGATCTTGTTGTCGTCACCATAGTTGTTGATATTTCACCATGTTCAAAAACCTGCAATATATGCAAGCTGCTGCTCTAGGTGTTGTGGCCTCTATGAATGTACGATACACCATCACAACAAAGACGATAACGATACGACACTCACATGATTTTTTTCACAGCTACGATTGAGCACATTTGTTTTTTTAACATTCAAAAAATTCCTGCTCCATCACAATGCATCAAGATCCAGTACAATGCACTACAATGAATTACTATTGACCACAACTTATTTAGTAATTTAGTACGACGCCACTGTGATTTTTGAAAAATTGAAAAATGATGCTCAATCGTAGCAAAAATTGTGAATGTCTGAAAGGGACATTATATGCAGCAGTCTTTTTCATCCTTTCCACATATAACAGGGGCTCTTTTTTTCAGGTTGAAGTACCCAAAACTGAAACTGCAATTTATTGATTTTTCTGAAAGGCCGAATGTACTCTATTCCAAATCTGTTTGGCAGATCTTAAGAATATCTAAATTCTAGTTGAAAAAATGAGCTTTAACCCAGTTTTACGCAAGCGAATTTACTCACACGAATCTGAAGAAATCGGAGTTCTGATTGGTTGTGCATTTTTTCACTTTGCAAAAAGTAGAAACAGTTCAAGCTACTGATTTCGCTGAAGCGAAAAACTACGATAGAAATTTGAATGTGCATGCTCAGTATTCGACGCTCTCGATTCGCGTGAATAAATTTGCATAGTGTAAGACCTGTCTCTTTGAGCCTAGATCTGTCTCTTATACACATCTAGATGTGTATAAGAGACAGTATATATATATATATATATATATATATGATTTATTTAAAACTAATTAGCAGGAATTAACATAAAAAAAACTTGTCCTTTGCTAGGTCATCAGGTTCTAACCTCACCCACCTGGCTCAAGTGGCTTCTGCCCTTACTAATTTAACCCAAAGTGCTGTTGAAGTGCTGAGCTATAACAACAATTTATTGTGGTTTGAATATAGCAAATAATAATAATATTACTGTACTCTCTTTATTTCCTCATTTTAGACAAAATAAAAGAGAAAAAAAAACACTACTTAGTCTCATACGTTTGTAAAATTTTAAAGGTTAAAAAAATAGTAGTTCTGTATCTTCTTGATATATACAGTATATTGATTGGAAGCCAAGAGTATAGAAACTATAGAGAGCACAGTACACTTGTTGTGAGCGTAAACAAACAATGCGCCCCTGTACGCATGAGAGGATTTCCGCTGTGTTCGGTTGTTATCCAGTAGTACACAGTTCTTTTTTATTATTATTATCTGTGTTCCACAAGAAACATTTCCTTCCTAGAGAATGATAGAATACTATTTTTACAAACTAATGCATTTTAATACCTTACACTTCCATGAGACAACCAAACACAGCCGCCCTAACCCTAACCCTACGGTGCATTTTGTAAATACGATGGCAATGTCACTGTATGTACACTGTATGTATGAACTCTTTAATTTCTATACTCTTAAAAGCAAGGGGTAAATTTTTATTTCTAGTCTGGACTCGCCTATCTGCCTAGTCCACGTTTATTTACTCATAGTATTATGCAGAAATTTTTTTATTCCTAATTTGGAATACTTTTTTTTATATAACAGGAAATTGAATGTCCAAACCTAAGGAAATTACTGCATTGTATGCATGCTTTCATCTCTGCTAAGCTAGCCAGCCTTGACCCAGTGTTCATGAAAAGTGCTTCAGATATTCAACGATAGCATTGATAGATAGGATCAACAATTAAGTATGAAGGTACTGGTTTTCACATTCTGGTTTTCAACATTTACTTTAACTCTTAGATATTTGATAGAAATATATAATTTAAATCACATTTTATTTTAGTTTCAATGATAATGAATTATTTTAAAACCCTTGATGTTAAAGCCATGGGCGTCGATCGGTGGGGACGGGGAAACGTTCCGCCCACTTTTCAAAGTAGGGGGACATCCTGTCAATTGTTCCCCACTTTTCACCAATCTTCTATAGTTGAAACCCCACTTTTGAAAGCGAGTGGAAAGAACAACAATTACGAATGCCTGTCATGAATTTTGTCTATTCACTTGTGCTCTGTTCCAAGTGCGGTGCGTATTTCCAGACCAATATTGAGTAAAAACGCAATTATTTGTACATTTTGTAACCATCTCCCATCGATTTTATGGGTGCAATGGTTATCAGAGGCTAAATTTATTAAACAGTGATTTTATACAGCCTTTGACACGGATAGGTCTGCAGCCCTCAAAATTAGGAAAAAATTATGTCGGCAAAAAAAAAAATGAAAATCATCGGCGCTATAAAATTTTACAGCAGTTTTTAGTTTCAGCCTACAGCCCTGAAATCAACCCATGCTGACCTGTTGTGGCAGTGATGGATGTCTTCAAGTCACCCAGTTAAGCTGGAAAGCCTAGCCTACGTACTGATGTTCAAATCACAACTAATTATTGAAAAAAATTTTGAAAAATGTTTTTATAATGACGAATAAAATGATACTACAAACCGAACAAACAGTTAATAACTAATAGTAATAAACGATTTTCCAGACGAAATAACGCAATAATCATCGCTGTCTGTACAACACTCTGTGAATGAACTGTCGCGACGGTTACGACGCACTGCTAGCTCAGTCCCAATAACGTTGCCATATAGGGATTATCTATTAATTAAATGACACACCGGTAGGCTGGAACGTTAATGTTAGATAAATTGAAAGTTACGTCTTAATATTGTTTATAAAGTGCATTATCTCCTTGCCATGTCTTAAAAATCGATTGCAATCAACCTGAAATGAAGATGGAACCCAAAGCAAGTTTCTATAACGGCTGACTCTTTTTCAGTAGACGTTTAATTCGGATTTGGACGTCATAGATTCATCAGTGTAAATTACAAATGATAGCTTCACTCATTCCTCAAAAACATGTTGCTAATTACAGAGAAAATTTGTAGAAAATGACATTGAAATTTTTAAGATTTGACTGTAAAACAAAACCACGAGGGTTTCTTATTTGTTTTATTTAATCTGTTTAATTAAAAATTAATCTGTTTACACTGAACTTGTTCCTGTCTTGCAAGCTGTCACACACTACGAAACGTCATCACAGCCAAGCACATTTTGCCCATCGATCATGACCCCACGAAAAAAATTAACCAATTAGCGGGCAGAGTTTAGGATGCACAAAGAATGTGTTGTTTAGAAAAATGTCTGACTGAAAATGGATGTAAAAACAATATAAAAGCATGAAATATACAATCCAGTTTGATTTTATTCACATTTTACTCATAATACAACATAAAAGACATTAAATAACTTGATTTCATTAAGAATAAAGTTTAATATTGTGTTTACGGCTATCTTGTCGTGTCTACCACAACTAGTACCAGCGCAGGCCTGGGTTAGTTTGGGCTAGGCCTAAAATCTTCACGCCGGTGATTTTTTCGTCGACGTTGGGTGGCTGCACGTCGCTGTTTATGTCGGCATTGCTGAATGCCGGCATTAATTTTGAGGGCTGGGTCTGTGTATTTCAACTTATTTAAGTAAGTAAATCACCTTTTATGTTTGTGTAATAAAAATGCTATCTAATGTTTTGTGTGCATCCTATCTCCTTAGACCTATTTGATCAGAAGTTAGACGGCAGTATTTCCACTCACAGTTAGTGTAGTCGCAATACCACTTGCACAAAAGTGAAATTCAAAAAGAGTAAAAAAGGAAAAAACCTCTCTTGATTGATTTTAAAAGTATTGTACAAAGTGACAATTTCTAACCTTAATAATTTTGCATTCTAAAAACTACAATTTCATTCATGAAAATTGACCAACAAAATGAAAAGTTATAGCAAATGAAAATTTACGATTTTTATAAATATTCATGTTCTGTGATTTTGACAATGCTGGACTAAGGTGCACAAAATGAAAATTTAAGTAAATATACAGTAAATTTTTTTTTTTCTGCGAAGTGAGTCTCTTGAACCACCGGACACCATCAAATTTTGAAAGCACTGTACACAAAAATAATAGTTTCCGTTCGGCTTGAGCCTAGATTTCTAACCTTAATAATTTGGCATTCTGTTTTGCTGACTAGGTCTATGTATTGCCCACAAATTGTAGCAATTTAATCAGTCAAATCAGAAAAACTGTCGCAGCAAACAGCAAAGAAATATTACCGATGATCCATTGTGTGATATAGGCCTATAACATTTTTGACTTTTGCATTACCAAACACAAGGGTAACTTTTTTTTCAAACAATTTCTAATTTGTAAAGGGGCCATCCCCCTCCCAAACCCTCCCTTGGCTCGCACCTGCGGCACTCCTAAGGCACTACATGCCACAGTACACCTCTTTTCCTGGGCCTTCAAATGTATTCCATGAACAATTTTGGCCCCTATTGTGATATAGTTGAGAACCACTGGACTATAGAATTGGAGTGACTGTTTTTCCATGAAGAAATAAGGTTTATCATTTGCTTTTCATGGTTCGAATACGTCACAAGCTCAGTAGATAATAAATCATTATTTTCATGAATGTTAGTTTGCACGAAATTATTATTATGATTATCAGGATAAATTGAAAAAAATAATGATAAGTATTTCAATGGCAGATTCAAGGGGGCCCAGCCGGCCCACCCTCCCTAATTTTTTTTTTTAATTTAAAAGTGGAGAAAAAAGAAAATTATATTCAAATTAAGTTTAAGTAGAGAACAGTTAAATTAGGCCTACTAATTTGACTGTTCCCTGGTCTGCGGGTGCTATTTCCAGCCAACTAGAGGTGCCATAATCAAAAATTTTCTTATCTTAGCCCCAACCATAGTGGGGCTGAGGTGGTCTATAGTCCATCTTTAAAAAGTCCCTCAAAAGGCCGCCTCCTCTTTTTTGAATTTCTGCCATTTCTGCAGGCCAAAATCTGGGGGCTCTGCCCCCTGGCTACGCCACTGCATTGCCACGCATGCTTATTCGCTCCTTTGTCTGAGTCTTTTTCATATGATTTATACTGGTGATTTTGCCAGTGTTCTTCCAGCCTTGATTTAAATTGATTAATTGCCTGTTAATCCAAAACTTTATCCAATAAACTATTCTAGTCATTAATCACTCTCGCACTAAAGTTATGTTCTCATGGGTTTCGGTTTCGGTAGTTTTATTGAATGTCCCCTAGTGACTGCAACTGACAATTCAAAAAGGTACCACATTTCAACTTATCAAAACCATTGAAAATTTTAAGAACCTGAATAACTGATGCTTTCTTCCTTCTGTAAATTAGCATTAGAAGGTTTAGTAATCATAATCCAGTCCCATCAACTGTAACCATGCTTTAACAGATATTGTGCCCAACTGGATTTTGGGTTTTCAATTCTTTAAATGAGAAAATGAAATCATGAATCTATTATCTACAGAATTGTAGATTGTACATTTTAATTATCTACCAAATCTGTTTATATTATAATATGACTGGCTACATTTGTTACTAAGGTACTTTGTTTAGTTTTAACAAATATATTGTAGTGGCTTTATTATTCCTAAATGCTTAATGGCCAATATAGAGTATCTAGGACACTAAGAAGTAAATGCTTGAATAAGCGCCGCTCTCAAATAAGTGCCGCACCAAACCTGATTTTTTTCTCTAAGTGAATATATGCCCCTAAATGAATGCAAGTAAACCTAATGGAAGCAACATCATTCGCAACACTCGAATAAATACAGTATTAGGAAGGAGGAGGTATCACAAGAAATCCTATGAACCAATGTGTTCTCTGCTTATTAGCTACACCCACTGACTAAACACATGAATACACACAAACCTACAAGATTTGTTTATATTTATGGTAGATTTTTTCAAAAGCTTGAGTGCTTTTCTTGCCTAAAAATTCTGACTGACAGTTCCTAGGTCAGTAAACAGAAACTGTTGGTGGGCTTATGTATTTGTTGTTGTTTGCCTCTATATGTACTTCAACATACACACTGATTGTGCTGTGTACAAAATATGATATGCTTTAGTTTCAATTTCACTTGCATTTTGAAAACTATTGTTTTTTCAGTTGATGTTTATCACAAGTTCAACAAACAGCTCCAGTTTTTTTTTTAAAGAAAGAGGACTATAAAGAAATCAAGTTTTGAAGAAAAAGCATCCAAATTGTATCCATCCCTTTGTTTTATTTTTATCTTTTTATAAGTGACTTTTGAATTTTTTAGTCTCTGAACACCTAAGTATTGAAGTGTTTTAATTTGTTCTTAGTTTTTTTTAATGTATTTGCCTTCTGACCAATGACAGTTTAAATCATGTATACATAAGTAGTAGTATACATTTACTTATTGCCATTGTGTAAAATATGAACAAATCAATAATAATCATAATAATATTACATTTTCAATTTTATAGGTGCAATATATTACAAAGAAATTACAATATTCGATTCATATATTCTTGCATTTATTGAAGGCACTCAGGTATATCTGACCAAATTATGATAAATATTTCTGATTATTCAATTATTAATAAGCATAAAGAAATGTTTAAGTCTTTCCTAAAGATATGCCTTCAGAATGTTGTTCAAAACTCCTGAAGTGAAAGTTAACATAATACTTTCACATTTATATATAAGGAAATATGAAAAGGTTTGATTCAAGAGGGAATTAACTTTTGTTTAAGGAAAAGGTAATGATATTCTATAACATTTGATTACTGTATACCTTATAGCGTTTCTCAAAGAAACCATGTTGAGTGACTTACTTTTGATACAAGATCACGTTATTGTATAGATGTAAGTTTATGCAAAGTATTTCCATTTGCCCTGATACCTCATGGTTGCATAAAAAGAAGTACCGTATGTCAAAAGCCTAGTTCTATCTTGTTCACACACACTTTATATTTACAGTAAGGTGTGTCGGTGGAAATGATATTCCATATTATGGATGTAAAAACAATAGAACGCTTTTCTTCCTTCCTGCATCTGTTCAGTTGTTCAAAGGTTAAGATTGTGGTAGATAGTGGTTGAGATACTTACTGTACTTTGGGAAAAGGAAGAGAGTCACTGTACTGAATTCATGTATTACCGATCCCAAGGACATTTTTTGTTTTCTAAACCAGCTTAGATTTCTTGTAGGTTTCCAGGGTAGATTTATAACAATATTCAAAGTGTATGTATCATATTTATAGAAAATCTAAGAAGATATTAATGAAAATGTTATTAAAAAATGTAAAAAAAAACAAAAAAAAAACCTTTTGTATGATCTAAACAGCAATAATCTTGTTGAAATTAAGTTTTGAGTTCCTTGTTGTTTCATTCCATATGATAGTATGATTGTGTCCGTTCTTTCATTTTTGTCATTTAGAGACCACTCCGCAGGACTCTCGTGTATTGACGTATATTTTGACATGCGTGCAGTACATTATAATTTATAACGTTCACATTGCGAGGAATCCTGAACAGTTACTGGACACGTGAATGATTACGTCACCTAAAACGTTACCTGAAATACCTTGTTGTAGCAAATATATCATAGTAAAATTTCCAATCATAAAATTATTACTAGTTTTTAGTATGTATGTAGACAGAGGAATATCCAGTATTTTAATTCTTGTCATTCTTTTATTAACCAAGACAGTGGCGGATCCAGGAATTAAAAATAGAGGGGCCCAGGAGGGTACTTTACAAAGATGGAGAAACTGTACCACCGCAGCCCCACCATGGTTGGGGCTGAGGTAAGAACATTTGTGATTATGGCACTTCCAGATGGCTGGAAATTTCACTCTCAGACTTAAAATTTGAATATGATTTTCTTTATATATCTATATTAAAACAATTTTGAACAATTTGTGGGGGGGGGGGGTGTGCTGGCTGCCCTCCATCTCTTGAATCCGCCACTGCAACACAAGCCATTAAGATCAAATGCTTTATTTATTAAGAGATTTATAGGCTATATATAAGTTCATGGACATTTTATTTATCATTTTATGGTACTTTTTTACAGCATTACTATTTTAACTGTTTTTAAATTTGGTCGCAGTGTTTATTATATAGCTTGTTTATGAATTATCACCAGCTATAAATGAGATGGTGCTGGTAAAACCACAAATCGGAGATATCATCTTTTACCTTAACTAAATCTAGGTCTTCAAGGAAAAAGGTGGATGCACACATTGCAGTGACCTGCATTGCTAACCAAGTAATACACTGCGGGAGGCTGACAGTACATGAGTTCAAAATTTACTTGAGAGTGATGTTCCATTTAACAGAATAAAACCAAATTAATGTAGTTTTACGGTGTTGGTACGTTGCAAGTCACAAACGTGTGATATTATCTGGATTATGGTTACTGTATTTTTATGCACAATAATTATATGTTAGTCTGACAGAATAGACCCAATTATTATTTAGACAGGTTTTCTATGCCTAAATACTGTAGCTCTGTGAACATACATGATTAGTTTTGTGTGTTTATATTGTACTTATCATCCTTTTTGTTGTGTTTTATATTTTACTACAAAAGAGTCTTTCTATCACTTTGACTGTTTAGTTGGTCAACACATTGTTATTTTAAAAGAAATTATTTTTGAATTTTTTTTAAATCATTTTCTTGGTCAAAACATTTTTTTTATTTTAAAGGAAGTGATCACAGTTGTTTGTCAAGGTATTTTTTGAACAAAAAGGGTTTATGAGATTTTTAATAGATTAGTTTGAACAAAAAAAAAAAACAGAAAATACATTTGCCAAAGTGTTATTAGTTGTTGATATACCAGAAAAAAAATAATAAAAGCAGCTGTACTTTCTAATTGCTATTTTGGTTAACTAATTGATATGGATAAAAGTCTGCTGTTAAAGGAGTTATTATTTGTATTAAAGTTTTGTATATTATAATGTATATAATTCGATATTATATATATATATATATGTATATATATATATATATATATATACATATACATATACAAAAACATCAAAGTTGCTGCATAGGCATATTGTAGATATAAAATAAAACACACAGGTGGTACAGTATTAGATTTACCTCTTTTTCTCAGTAAATATTGAGGTAAATCTACTACGACCTATGTGTTTTATTTTATACAATATCTTGATATGTATAAATAAGTAAACGATAGCCTGTCATGTTGTTAGTTTCTGCAATTACTGTACTAAGCAGTGTTCTGGTTTTTCTTGCTAAACTGTTATAAACCATGGGTTTTCAATATTTGGTTTTGAAAAGCTTATATTGCATGAACATATTTTTGTTTTAATCTAATTGAAATGGATGTGATGAAGGTTGGATTTTGTGTGTTTTTTTTAGAGTGTAGGCCCAGGGTGTTATATCATATCCATGATTGTACAGATTTGTGTCCACGAAATTATTTTTCGTCCCTACTTAATCATTATTTGCTATTTTACATCAGTGATGTATTTTAGTGGTTTTTTTTCTAAGAATGTTTAAGAATACACTTTATTGAAGACTTTCTTAGAATTTTTTTCAAGAATTTATGGGGATATTTGCAATAAAATAAAGTTCCAGCCACATGAGATAATTAAATAATCCAAATAAATCTTTGTTTTTCCAGAATTGCGCAATGTCGAAATTGAGTGTTGAATTTAACAAAATTACTGAATTATGCAAACTAAAGAGCATTACAGTATGATTATTGGATTCATTAATTTGGAGTAATAATTATATTGAATAGTATACAGCATTTCCACTAACCCTAATATTTTTTTTTCATTTGTTAAATTACCTTTGATGTATAAAGAGTATTACTTTATGCAATTACTTAGGTATACCTAGATATCTGTTTGATATGGTTTTACAAACTCGAGATAACGCTTTATAGATAAATATAGCTAGCAACATTTTGTAACAGGGTTTGACGTCTGTCGGTTGTGCAGATCATGGTGAATACAGGTTACATTATTCTTGGTTGAAACCTGAGAAAAACAATATATTTATTAAAGCTTGGTTATTTTAACTATCATGTTGTGTGTTTGGTTTATTCTGAAGCTCTGCACACACTCAAATTTTATGTGACAAATTTGTGTGATGTGCCCATATATGGGCATGATAATGTCATATTACACCCATATATGGGCATATCAGTTTTTTTTTCGCATAAATTGATATTGTGGTCAGAGCTTAAGTTTGGAACTAAATTTAGCTTACATATTCATCTAACGGTATTCACACTTAAAATTACAAAAATACACGAGGCATGCGTTTTATAACTGCCAGTCAGGGCCCTGGGCGGGCTGTTAAGGAGTATAGTATACCTGTAGTTTAAATGTCGCCAGGAAAAATATTTACGGTCATGAATCTTGATAGTAAAAGGGTCTAGGATCTCCTTGAAAGTTTAAGCCGAGAGAGTTGTTTCCCGGTCATGAAGAAAAATCGCAATTCGTCAAGGAGAAAAAAAAATGTATTTTATACATGTTAGTAGCCTCTAAAGTCGATTAAATAAGCCTTTGAAACCCCGAATATTGTCAAATTTTCCCGGGGCTTCGCTCCCTGGACCACGCCCACTTTGCTCTTTTTTTTAAATTTTATTTCAGCAACATTTATTTCTTTCATCTTTCTTTGATATATATATATATATATATATTATATATATATATATTATACAGTAGAAAATAATTAAATTGAGCAATAATAATAATATTAGAATAGCAATAACATATTATAAACAATGAATCGGGATCATCAGCCCATTCCCGGTCGACCAAATCTTGGTGCCACCACTGCCGAGAGCTAAGTTGACAGTGACAGACTCAAGGGGGTCCTGGCCGTCCCCACCTCTAAATTTTTGAAATTTATGAAAAAAGGGTAATAAGAAAGTGAGAGTGCAATTTTCGGCCATCCAGAGTTGCCATAATCATACCCCTATCTGTGAAAGTCCTTCCCTGCGCGCCTTCTATTTCGAATTCCTGGATCCGTCACTGGGTCATATGAGGCACACATAGGTTGTCATAATTATGAAGAAAAGTTGAAAGCTTGATAAATGTTGATAGTATTGTTTGTTTTTAAACAATTTCAATTTTATTTAATCACAACTGGCAGCATTAACGCTGAATTACATGAGAATACATTAAAAATATTTAAATAAACAGAAATGGAAAACCATAAAACATAAAAAGTTATAGCAATTAATCTAAGATAAGATAGTGTAATACATACTATGTATGAAATGCACGCCATCGTGTCGGGATTCAATATTTCGACAATAATTATATCATCAGGAATCATTCCTGATTATAGCAATTAGACATTTATATAAAAGTACACATTATGTCGTATCATAATATTTACAATTGAAATTTTTTTTTTTTTTAATTAATTTCATTGACTTATTTCAGAAAAAAAAAACTTTAAATGCAAATAATGTATTGAATGAAGAGCCCCGCCTTTAATGCACTGATGTAAAACTGTAAAACAATAATTAAATCTATATATATATACTCTCTCTCTCTATATATATATATCATAACACTATGCCGGACACTTCTTTGGCATAGTTTGAGACCTATACATTTATTAAACGAAATTGCCTGAATCAACGTAAGAGTGTCTTCCTGAGGAAGGCAGCAGGCGCTGCCGAAAATTTTGTTCAATTTCGTTCATAGGCCTTGTGTCTCAAACTATGTCAAAGTGTCCGGCGTTTATTTTAACAACTGCAGTGTTATTCTATACCATCGAGGAGACATACGTGGAACATCACCAACTACATACATACAGTACAGAAAATATGCAGCCTTGTCCCGTGACAATAATCGGTTAAAAGTTCGACACATTAGTTCAGCAATTAATACGGTAATGAGGTATGACGTTTCGATAGCTTATTAGATATTAATGTATTTCCTATCGACACCCTGACTTTGATAAACCACAATGCTGCGTTGCTATTAATTATTTCCTGGTGTTTACCCTGTACAGGGGCGGATTTAGGGGGGGGGCGCCCCCCCCCCCCTTTTTTTGGGAGGTGAAAAAAGGGGAAAAAAGAGAGAAAAAGAAAAAAATAGCCCAGAATGCCTCAAATGTTATGTTCGGGCGTCTAGAACACAAAAACCGCGGGGGAATGCCCCGGACCCCCTACGACACTGTTGTCTCAATCGGCCCAACTTTCGGCCCCTCCTCCGCCCCTTTTGGACATCTCTGGATCCGCCCCTGCCTTCTGAACAGGGATATTGTTCCCAATTCTCTCTAATCAAACCATCTTTTTTTTGTGTTTTGATGTTTTTATTATTATTGTTTTAATTATCAAATAATAAATAATCATTCAATCAATTCATTCATTTCATTCGGGCAATGCCCGACTTTATTAGCTCGATTAGGCCACCGGCCCATAGAGTTACATTTTATAATGAAGTGAGATTTTTTCTTAATTTAGAGCCAACATAGAGAAACTTAGATAAATTAATTTGTAAATTATTATATTTATACAAACTTAATAACTTATGACGGTTCGGGTAATAACCCAGAAGTGTGATGGCAGTAATGACTCTCTTTCCGATTTATAGGCGGGACCAATTAAACAGAAATGGTAAACATCTTTCACTTCGTTAAGCAAACATAAATTACATATATTACATAAATTACATATATTACATAAAAGGCCCTCTGCATTGCGGCTGTTAACATTAAGGTTGTGTGATCCTGTCCTGAACATTGTAATACATCGCCTATGATTAAAATTTGTAACTAAGTTAATATAATGCTGAGTATGATAATTTGGCTCCTTTATATTCAAATAAAAATGCATACTTTGCGAACAGAAATTGTCACCTTCAAATGTTTGAACATAATTATCTTTGAGAAATCAATGAAATCTAAAAAAGCGTTGATATCTGCTACAACCTGTTTAAGCCAAACAAATCCAAAACCGTACTTAAAAGAGTTTGTTTTACATGGGAGACCCAATTTGATGTATCTTAACGATATAGCATATTGTAATATTTGAAGGGAAGCCGTTTTGTTCCATAGTTATATTACTCTCAGCCAATAGGAGACCACAGTTCTATACACTTTTATCCGTAACGGGTAACGCCCCAGCTCGCCCAATGTAGTGTTGTTAGTGCCGTAAGGGATACCAAGTGCATTTTTACAATATTTAGTATGTGATGTTTCATAAGTGATGCAATTATCGTAACCCAATACCTCTGAGCCATAAAGAAGAATGGGCACAACCATGGAGTCAAATGTCAAATAAATACATTTTCAAATCTGGATTGATATAACTGTTACCTTCAAGAAAACTTTTTATCTTAAAAATACCTCTACCTGCTTGGTTAGATAAAGTTCGTATTGGAGCTGACCAGGTGCCCCGGGAGCTTATTTTAAGGCCCAGATAATTATAATATGGTACAACATCAACGTTGTCACCTTTATATGTCCAACGTTCGTCTTTGATCACTATTCCACCCCTTCTGAAAATGATGGCTTTGGTTCTCCCATATTGACCTAAAAATCCCACATATCACAATACTTTTCAAGGGAGTTCAATATTTTTTGTAGCTTAACCGGTGTTTCTGCAAGCAAGACAATATCATCCATGTATTTCAAATTATTTACCTCGGTGTCACCAACCTGTATTCCCCCAATACCCTTTTGTTCAAGAAAATAATTTAAATCAGAAATATATAGGCTAAATAATAAAGGCGATAGATTACATCCTTGTCTGAGCCCAAAATGACAATTGATAGTGTTACCGGTACTATATGCTTGATTATACCTTATGCATGACGTGATTCCATGATAATAATTCCTCAATAGGCCTACAATTAATAAAAACCAAATTGGCTTAGCTTATGCCATTAATTTTCTCTATTGATGAGGTCGAACGCTTTTCGCATGTCGACAAAAACTGCGTACAGTCTACCGAGTGATTGCGCCAGGACATGCCCGACGGAGGGGCAAAAGACCCCGACGGGAAGGGGGGGGGGGGCTAGTGGAGCAAATCGAGTCTCACTTGGCTAGGGGCCTTTGGCCGCCTAGGTCCCCGGTGGAAATTATGGATATTTGATGAATTATGTCGAATTTTTATTACTTATTTGATAGGCATCGAGTTACTATAATATGACTTCATGTAGGCTATGCTTTCTAATGCTGAAATCAGCTTCCAGAACAAAAACATTTTAAATAAAACAAGAAACAAAGAGTATGCAATGTAACTATCTAATTTATTTTCAAATCCTCATTCTTGAAAGTGAAATTCTATATTTTGGAAATTTTGCATGAAATCTGTCAACCACGCTGTCATGGTCG